GAGTACTACACTCGTCCTTTTATCTCTACTATCCTAGTGATTGTTTTCTAGTTTGTGTTGTTATTGTAAGTACTCTATGTCCTTGTCTTGGTTATCACTTTTTAAACTGCTCTCTTGTTTTGTTAATTAAAAAAAAAATCCAGTCATTTAAGATAAAAAAAAAATTGGACAGTTTTGATGATTATCTTGTGATTATTACAGTCAGCAATGACTTAACAGAGTACAGAGCAGGTTTGTTTTAACTTCAGGATTAAAGCCTGCAGCCCAAACTGAATACAACACCACAAAAAATAATGCAAACTGACAAAGGCCATTTTAGCCCTGTATACTTCAGCTCTAAATTACTGGCTATTGTGCACTCGTGCACTCCTCCTTCATCATTTCTACCAGACAATTAGCTCAAAAGAGGAGAATAAAGATCCAACCAAATCAAATCTATCAACACAAATAAAAATGGACTCGGGAAAGGTCAGGAGAGGCAGAACTTGGAATTCATTCTTTCTGACTGCTCCCCACCTGTAAAAGGACCACTTGAGCAGAAAGAGCTTGGCAGCTTTAGGGAAAGCAGGGCTGTGTTGGTAGGGCTTTAGGACCTGGGAAACCACACCGTCGAGCCACGCGGCCCACTGCTCCAGTGAGTTCTGCTGCTGGAGGGTCAGCTTGAAGTCCTGCTCGAGCCGCTGGACCACACGGTCTTCGCACCGGCACACCCATGAAGCCTGCTCCTAAAAAAGCACAAACAGGGAGAAAAAGGCAGTCAAAAAAGTGTCATTATAGGGCAGCCACATCTGCATCAGTAAAAGAGGCTGGATGACCTTATATTTATAAACAGCAGCAGATGATGGAGCTTAAACTACGCACTAGTACTAAGTTTACTGTTCAGTATCTGAACATATAATCAGGCGGAAGAAGCAGTTTCTTAGAAAAAGCAAGTGAGCTTCCTGAACAGTAAAATAAAAGAGACACTATGAAGGAAGCTGGATAAACAAATAACACATGAAACCTCAGTGTAACCACAAGCTACAGAGTCAGCTGCAAAACCATAGCAGCATTCAACCACTGACAATGTCATCAGCGCGATTTAATGAGAATGCTGCTAGACACTGAACCGACCTGCACGTTGGCAAAGTCGACGCGGTTGAGGTCGGACAGCATCTGATTGATCTGAGCCGTGTTCTGGAGGACAGCACGGGCTGCCTGGGCCAGGTGGTTCAAACTGGTGTAGCGGCGCAGGGTCTGAGCAAAAGCATTGGCTGATGTGACCTGAGAGAGGAGGAAGATGACGGGTCAGAAAAAGATGCATATCAATATTTTCACAAATATCCGTATATAACAGATGTTTTCTGTGATAGCTGCTCAATCTGCTGTCATTTATTTACTTCGATGGAACCTCTTTTTTCCCTTCTTCACAAAAGCTGCACCGCAGAGCTTTTATATAAATTCAACTCTAGCTCCTGCTCACAAAAATCTAATAATGTCTGAGCTTAGAGTCCCACACAATAAGGCAATGTTTTTGTCATGCCTGAAAAGACTGTTTGCTCCATGGCTCAGAAAACAAGCGGTTCCATCAGCGCCAAGCTAATAATGGAGGGCTTTACCTTGATGCGGACCATTTCCTCAGGGATGTTCATCATGGCATTGGTTAGCCAGCTCTCCAGGCTCTTGGCAAAGTTGCGAATGGCTTGAGTTAAGGCACCTGTGGGCAGAAATGGGTCTGTCACTGCTAGAGTGGGAAAATGATTATCTAATGTCTAGACAATTAGCCAAGTTTCTGCTGGTCAAAGATTTTTCAATTTTTATTTATTTTCTTTTTGGCATTACAGCTGATTATCCAGAATTGTGTCCACGTTATGTCTATGTGGAACATTTTTTTTCTCTGGCAGCATTGTGATGGGAAAGAAAATGACGAATATACAAAAGGGAACTGTTCAAGGTCTTAAAAGTTAAACCCTGACTAAAACTATAACCGAAACCAGAAGAAATAAGTGTAGCTGCCAGTAAGGGCAGCGCAATGGGTACATGTGATGGATTCTTTCACTACACATCCAAAAGTCTGTCAGGAGGATCTTTGCTCCCTAGTTGGCTCATTTCAACAACTTTAAATTGGCACTGAGTTTTAGGAATAGCTCTTTATTTGTATAAACACACTCTGTAGGCACGGATAAGCATGCTTACATGGTTCACTACATAATTAGTCTTCCTATAGAGCCTTACTGGGGATGGGTCTGAGGACATCAGGGATGAGGATTTCCACCAGGCCCTGGTAGAGGCTGTTGTCACAGTCGCGGCTCCAGCGCAGCACTGGCTCATACTTGCACAGCAACACCAGGCAGGACTTAGGGAGACGCTTCTCTGACTCATCGTGACTGCCGAGGCGCACACACACGCACACACAGTTTGTATGGAAATAGTAATGCTACGGCAACAGACAAATGTTTTTACTATCTTAGGACACAATCTGGATCTTGAATGAATGCCTGCCTGTGGAGTACAATCACTCACACGGCCAACGTGGCATCTCCGGCCTGACTTTGGCTGAACCTCCAGAAGGTCTTCCACAGAGTCTCCACTAGGGTAAACTGCAGGTTAACCATCACATCGAGAATAGCCTGAAAGAACGGAAAGAAAAGAATCCATACATCGAAGAATCGAAGACTGAGGACAAATAGATTATTGGCGGTGGGGGTAGCGGGGCAACTGGAGCAACAAAGGAGAGGAAAACAACATTCTGCATTTCTGGATTTTGCTTTCAATGTAGTCTTCCTAACCTTAAAACTCATCTTCACCACTACATCTATAAGACATTTTGACATTTTGATCAAATTACAGTCAGTTTTTCCCACTAAAAGGTTATAATTGGTGTAATTTGACTTAGACTAGTCCTGCAGTGATTCAGAGAAAGGAACTACACACAAAGGAAAAACTTCAGTAAATAGTCAGTGGGTTCCAGTTTCGGTTACCTCACAATGTTCTCTGTACAGCAACTGAAAGCTCTTTATGTGCTCCAGCTCAATGCCCTCTGGCAGAGACTTCCCCTGAAGATCGATCTCTGGGAACTCTGGGAGAGCTCTGGATGCATCTGAACACAGGACAAAGGAGCAGTGGATACTCAGAGAGAAATCCCATTAACTGCACAGGGTAATCAACATTTATGTGAATGCCGCTAAATGTGCTTAGATGGACATGCCTGTTCTGGTTTAGCTCATAGTAGGAGGGATGTGGCATTTAAATGTTGGTAATGAGATTGTCTTTTTACATTATGTTCAGATTAAAAACATATAATCCGTCCATCCATTTCCATCTGCTTATCCAATTCAGGGTCTTGAATTGGATAAGCAGGTAGGTCTCGAACAAACCTGGACATATTGCCAGTCTGTCACAGGGCAAACACACAAAGAGACAACCATTTAAACTCCCATTCACACCTATGGCTAATTTAGAATCACCAGTTAACTCAGCTCCTCTAACTGCATGTGTTTGGACTGTGGGAGGAAGCCAGAGTACCCGGAGAGAACCCATGCAAACACGGGGAGAACATTCAGACTCCACAAAGAAAGGCCACAACCAAATATGCAAGATTCAAACCCAGGACCTTTTTGCTGTGAGGCAACAGTGCTAACTACCATGCTGCCTTACACATATAGAAATAGCCATCCATCCATTCTCTTCTGCTTATCCAATTCAGGGTTGAAGGGGGGGGGCTATTCCAGCTGTCTTAGGGCAAGAGGTGGAGTACACCCTGGACAGGTCGCTCGTGTGTTGCAGGGCTAACACATAGACATAGACATAGACAACCATAGACATAGACAACCATTTGCACTCACGTTCACACCTATGGGCAATTTAGACAAACACGGGGACAACCTGCAAACTCCACACAGAAAGATCCTGTCCTGGTGATGAAATTGAACCTCCTTGCTGTGAGGCTCTGAGTGTTAACCACTGCACCGCCAGCACAGCAGCATATAGAAATGTTAAACATATATCAGGTGTAAAAATCCCATCATGCTATCAAACAAAGGAACTACGCAATTCAAACGCAGTAAACACAGCAGCATAAGTATAAGCCTGTGTGCTATATGCTTACATAAATAGGAAACCATGCCTTATATACTTGTAATAAACTGTTACAGAAGATTCTGTTACTGGATTTGACAGTCTGTTAACAGGACATGGAGGTCCTTGCTGCTAATAAAAATGAAGGCTTCCCAAAAAGCCTAAAACCTAAAGATGAGGAGACACACTTTTCAGGCCAAATTAACAATTTACTTCACAGGGAAAAGCAAGTACAAAGACCAGCCACTCTAAACAACCACATAATGTAATGCAAGGTCCTCACAACAAGCCCTGAGAGCTTAGAAGAATATTTTGCTTGCTCACTCTTGTGACTCAACCAAATTAACATTTAAAAAAAAGCAGCACTCACTAACAAGTGTGTTCATTGTTTACTAAGCTCACCAAGGAACTGTTGGTACTGTTGAACCTGGGTGCTGATATCCACGTGGCCCGATCCCTGCTGCTGTTGCTGCTGCTGACCAGCTCCTGCTGCCGTTCCATTGGTCATTCCTTCCACTTTATGAACAGGCTTCAACCTGATAGGTAGGGAGCGAAAAAGCACATCAGGCATTCATGTCTAGACAAAGGTGATAAATAATGAAGTGAAATGAAATTGTAATTCAGTCTTATAATGAGAGCAGCAGATGCCCAGAGCCGCGAGAAGAATGGAAGATGTGGTGTGAGAGATGGAGAAAAAACAGGAGCCGGTGGCAAAAACCGTATGAGGTAGATAAAAGGTCAACTGTGTAATGATAGAGAAGATGCGCTTGAATGTGTAAACATTTCTGTGGATACCTCTGTTTCTGTGAGAACGGCTGTTGCCTCATAGCCAGGTGTTGTTGGTCTTCCATCAGCCGGAGAAGAGAAGAGCCCGCTTTGATTCTCAGCCCATAATAGTGGTATTTAGAATTACCCCTAACAGGAAGACAAATGTGGTTTGACTTTTATTTTTAAAAGAGCCTAACTCTATAGAGAGCATAGTGTTTATGCTGTCTGTTTAAATGTATGTTAACTCCATACAAGCCACATGTATAGTCTTACTATACACTGAATTAGAATTTCATAAAACACAAAGTATTTGCACTAACTACTTTTAAAAAGTCATTTCACTAGCTCACTCACTCACTCACTCACTCTCCCACACACATGCTGTCTGTCTTCATCGCTACCCACATGTCTTCCTACACAAGGCAAACATTTTCCAATGCTCCAGAGAGCTTTATAGATGTTCCTAGAAAAATTAAAACCAAACAACACAAAAAACTGCATTCTGCTGGAAACTAATTTAAGGTACACCAATCAAGCATAACATATGACCACCTGCCTAATACTGTGTTGGTCTCCCTTTTTCTGCTAAAACAGCCCTGATATGTCGAGGCCTGGGCTCCACTAGAGCCCTGGAGGTGTGCTGTGGTATTTGGCACCAAGAGGTTAGCAACAAATCCTTTAAGTCCTGTAAGTTGCGAGGTGCGGCCTCCATGGATCGCACTTGTTTAACTAGCACAATCCAAATTCTTGGGAATTGGGAGGCCAAGTCGACACCTCAAAATTGTTGCTGTGCTCCTCAAACCTCAAACCAACCAGAGCACGTTATTCTGCTGAAAGAGTCCACAGCCATCAGGGAGTACTGTTTCCATGAGAGGGTGTACCGTGGCTATGCAGCCCCAAACACAACGAGCTGTGATGCACAGTGCATTCTGACACCTTTCCATCAGAACCAGGATTAAGCTACAGGAACGGTACCGTGGCTGCATCAAACCACAAGGATCAGCCTTGGCCGCCCATGATACTGTCATCATAACAGTGGTTCACTATTGTTCGTTCCTTGGACCACTTTTGATAGATGCTTACCACTGGAGACTGATAACAACCCAGCTCCAACCCAGTTTTCTAGCCATTACAGTTTGGCCCTTTCAAACTCAGGGAAATGCTTATACTTCTTGCTTTTAGCACATCAACTTTGAAGACAAAATGTTCACTTGCTTCCTGATATATCCCACCCACTAACAGGTGCCACGGTGAAGAGACAATCAGTGATATTCACTTTACCTGTCAGTAGTCAAATCTTATGCCTGATTGGTGTGTGCATGCATAGCATTACGCACGTCAGTTACATGGAGACTACTGGTGTCTGGTGAAATGAACGGAGGACTACTGGGTTTGTGCTCCTGACATGCATCACTGCAGCAGAAAAGGCCACAGTGGAATGTGTGATGTGTTTGCCTGATCTCTCCTCTGTGGTCTTCCTCTTCTCCTCCTGCCTGGCAGCTCCATCTTCAACATCTTTTGTTCAATATATTCACTATCCGTCCTCTGCAGATGTTCAAACCATCTTAGCCTTGCCTTTCTAACTTTCAAAACCACTCAGCTGAAGTTGTCCCTCTTGGTCACTATCAATGAAAATCCTAGCAACTCTGCCTCCTGTCTTTTTGTCAGCATCACCATCTCAAAGCCATAAATCATAGAAGTTCCCTCTACCAACTTGTAAACATTTTCCTTCACAAACCCTTAACATTTGTCTCCACCCACTCGACCCTGTCTGTCCTGTCTTCTTCACCTCTCTCTTTACTAATGGATATAAATGGGTTGCATATATATTTTTTACCCTATGAGACCTGAGTTTGGGTGACTACACAGCTTACCGAGTGCCCAGACGCCGTGTGCGTAGCCCCATGAACACAGATCTTATGAGTTTCCCGAATGACGCAGCATTAACAGGTTCTAGCTTCTGCTCCTGGCAGTGCAGCAAGTAATGGCAGTAAAGGGTGGAACGGGGCAGACTCACTCCTTCAGCTGTCTCATAGTTGTCCAGCAACCACTGTACCTGACACACAGGCAACGAAACAAAGAAAATAGCTGGTGCAGTTAGCAAAGCCAGTATATACAGATATACAGAAAAACATAGCGCAACAGATAAATGCACAACTATTAGCACACATATCACACCCTTGAACAGATACATGTACATGACATGCACACAAACGCACACACACACAGATTTCTCTAGTATTTGTATTATACAAACGCAAATCCATTCGTATTTACAGTCCGTCTGTCATTCAGGAATGAAAACACAAATACATCTGTTTGCGTGCCGTGGCATACAACTTTGGTATGCAATGAATCAATGACCTGGAGTACTGATGGGATGCCGGCCAGACATGTTTTGGTTATGGCCATTGTATGGGGGTCAATATGATGAATTTGGGATGAACAGTATAGTGTCAAGGCATTTCAGGCAAATTAAAAATGCCCCTCATTACATGCACTGCAATGGTATGAAAATGATGAGGTCATGGTTTTGTTTTCTTCGAGGAAATCACAGCTAAAGCAAAAATAAAAATAAAAATAAAAAAATAAAAAAATAAAATTTCAGCTAATATTTTTTTGCTCCTAATCTCCAAATTGTTCACTTGTGTTTTCCACTTTGACAAAACTCAAACTATGACGTCATCAGTGTGCGCCACCAAAAGGGGGGGTTGTGTGGATGAGAACAGAACGAGAAGAAATTCCTGCGCTTGGCGCCTCTGCATACCTTCTTGTCTGCCGACGGCACGCTACTCTCCTCGCCCTCTGTAATACTCACAGTGGCCGGAGAGGCGCGGGCGGTGTGTGAGTAGTTCTGACTGTTGCCAGCTGCCGACCCGCTGCTGCTGCTGCTGCCGCCGCTGCCCAGCATGTAACCCCCCTGGATCACATAACTGCCTGCCGCGCCGCCGTTGGTCCCTGCCCCTTCTCCGGCCCCGTTGGTCGTGCCGCCTGCCGTCACCACTGTGGCCCCTCCCCCCGCCGCAGTGGTAGGCTGGGCCACGAACATCGAGACGCCCGCTGTGGTGCCGGCTGTCACGGACACAGTCAGAGGTGTGCCGGGCGTAGAGGCCTGGGTGCCGGAAGTCGGCTGACCTTCATAATATGGAGCGGCGGTGGTCTGGGTGTACAAAGGGGTGTCGGTGTAAGGGAAGGTGCCGGAGCGACTGGATGAGAGACATGCAAAGATAGGTTACAAAACCAAGCAGCCGAAGAAAGAAGTAAGACAAAGAAAACAATAATTCTGTGTAGACAAGTGTTAGAAAATGAGTTTCATTCTAACATGGTGCTGGTGGTGTAGTTGTTGTCTTCTCCTTCAACATACTGCACTTGATTGGTGTACACATGTTGCACTGGCACTGATGTGAGCTGCTGCTGGACCTAAGGAGTGAGCGCACACACACACACACACACACACACACACACACACACACCAAAATCCAATAAATCCTCAGCCATCATGTTGAACCACATCAACTCTTTCATCCTTTAGAATCTTAATATCTTTCATGTCCGGCCTTGTTTTTGCACTACAAACATTTCTTATACAGACAGCTTCTCTGTCCACTCATCTTTGTAGCAGCAGATTCCCTCGTGTCCCTGACCTACTTGGAAAGCGGCGGTTGCTGTGTGCAGAGGTGGCTGATTGGGACCTGAGCTGAGGATGGCAGGGTGGCCTATCTCACTCTCAGCGTGCACAGAGAGCATGCACATTGGCTGCCAATACTCATCCAAGGGGAGGTAGACGGGTTTGCAGCAGCAGCCGTTTACGCAGTCTGCTGACACCCAGGCAAGGCAGACTGACTCCTCTGCCTCATGACGCAGCTGCCAATCTTCTAGTTTCCTATCCCTGACTAAACCGGTCACCTCCGTGCTAAGGGGAAGCTGAAAAGTTGCAGATTTGACCACAGAAACAATGAGCTGACTAATACTGAGCCAAAACACAAGGAAGTTGCAAAGTTTTGTACGCATCACAAGTCATATTGATCACACATTTAGTGAAGTGAAGCTGTGATGACTAGCTCGCATTTACACACTGGTTAGTGAAAGCATAAGTTATTTTCAGACATCACGTATATGCCATCACCACTGACAAACTCCACTGCGAGATTGGCATACCTCCTGGGTGATGTGGACAGGCTGTAGACTGGTGACGCTGAGCTGTGTGCCTGGCTCAGTTTTGGCAATCTGGGAGGTGGCCTGCACCACTGACCTCTATTGAGATGAAGAGAAGATTCAAGAGCAAAGAAAACAACATAACATAACCGGACATAACCATGTATGTGTGCAAATTTTACCTGCTGAGCTGTCTGCACCTGCTGAACAACTTGTGTGGGGACTCCAGTCTGCACCACAGCTGGAGGTGGACTGGAGTCTGACACACTGTCATTCGAGTGAAGGGAACCCTCTGAAAGATAAAGAGGGTATCTTAGTACCTGCACAAATTAGTGATATTATTTCTACTTCATTAAGCTGATCATACACTGCCTCTCATCTCTTGCTACAGCTGATTAATAATAAAGTGGTAACACTAATGGTGTAATAAAGCAGATAAAATCATGTCTTTAAACACGTAAAAGTATGCACAAATTAAAAATCTCCCCACCTACAAAAAACATTTGCACTTAATTTGTCAATTTTTTGCTTGAAAAACCTTTATGAAAACTAATGATAGGAATTAAAAAAAATATTTTAAAGACACAATTAAAATTGACCACAGAGGATAAGCCTGTGACTGTAACACAGTTTTACTTCATTCGCCACACACCCTTATACCAAACTGGGATTATCCGGTATGTGAGTCGAGCGTTTTTGTCTGCCTGAGCCTTTACAAATACTTGACTGTACAAGTCGAATTCAATAAGTCGGGCAATATCAGGTATTTCTGCTGCAGCTAATTACTAGTTTACTTACCTTCCAGTCCTAGAACCTGTGCATTAAACTCCACGCCTCACCCTTTTTGATTTTGTCCTTATAAATCAAATCTGCTTTGTCAAATAAAATGATGAGTCTGAAAAACCCCTTAAGATAAATTCTCATCATCCATTGTGAAACACCTCTGACTGGTTAACTTCAGGCCTTGCGCCAACAGATCTTTATTTGTGATGTGTTATATGACTGTGGGGTGGCAGATAGAGACATATTTACACAGTCTGAAGCAAGGAACTTCTAGGACACTTGTGTTATGATATAATGCATATAGTGCAGAAAGCCTTTACCTGTGACGGTAACAACGATGTACTGTGGAGTGCTCTGAGCATTTCCTGACTGCGTGGGGGAGCCCTGGATCTCTGCAGTCACATACTGCGTCTGAGCTGGCTGAGGTTGCACTGTGGACTGGGTCTGACTAGCAGTGGGCTTCTGGGTGGTGATGGAAGCGGCTTGCTCTGTGGGAGTAGTTTGGCCTGTGGGTGTGACCACAGTGGGAGCAGCCACAGTAGTCTGAATCTCAGCCAAAAATTGTGGGGCAGTTACAGGGGTGGAGCTGGCATCAGGTTGACCCGTTGTCACAGTGACAGCAGTCCCCTGAGTTTGGGCCGCTGGCTGGATCTCACCTACGTAGCCTGTAGTGGCCATTACAAGAGCAGGGAATCAGGCTGGGGAAAAAAGAAAACAAGACAACAAGTTACACATTTTCATACTAAGCTGTTTGTTTTCAAACTACAGGGTGGGCCATTTATATGGATACACCGTAATAACATGGGAATGGTTGGTGATATTAAAGTTCTGTTTGTGGCACATTAGTATATGTGAGGGGGCAAACTCCTCAAGATGGGTGGTGACCATGGTGGCCATTTAGAAGTCGGCCATCTTGGATACAACTTTTGTTTTTTCAATAGGAAGAGGGCCATGTGACATATCAAACTTATTG